GTTGATATTTTACAACTTCCGCGACACCTCATTTTAAAGCCCATAAAAAACTGAATTGAATGAGCTATTAAATGTATTTTCAGGGCATTTGGCTATGAAAAGTTTGCCCAGCCTTGTCACATTTCATTTAAATATAAAATTGTTGGTTTTTCTTTGATTCTGTTAAATATCAACTTTTCCTGTTGCAGGAACCTGTGTATGTGGTGAATGCATATGTCATGATGTTGACCCAACTGGAGATTGGGGAGATATTCATGGAGATACTTGTGAATGCGATGAACGCAACTGCAAAGCAGCCTATGATCGATATTCAGATGATTTCTGTTCAGGTAAAGGAAATAATTCAAGGACTTAATGTGATCTCAATGGAAGATCTAATATGCTTTACAGTGGAAACTCTAATAATACAGAGCCCAAATAATAACATATATTGTTACAATCCTATTTATGCCACAATTATAAACTTGTGTCCTGACTTCCAGATACAAATAGGTAAGTCATAGGATTGCATGATGGCGTGACCCCACGTTCTGTCATTTCCTGCCTTTGTCCCTTTTATGTGGAGGAACAAAATGATCTCATTCCACAAGATTTCCAGAAAGTGATCTGGTGGCTGGATCTGTATTTTGTCACATGAATTCATATTCCCCTGAGGTGTCAGACTAGTACGTATGAAAGAGAATATTTGTAGCTCCGAATTGATGTGCGGAGGAGCCCTTGATGGTCTCTGAGTTTGGTTGTTTTCTTGCAGACATGTTAAGTTACTTTATCAGTTCTAGGTCTATGTTTATTATCTAGTCATGAATGAAACATCTGTAAAAAAACAACCAAGCTCAGAGAGTACCAAGGACCCAAAGTTAGTACCATCTAGCAGTTACAGCTTCAATGCTGAGAATCCCTTGTGTTTTAAGATGGGCAGCTATATTATTTTGAAAAATAAATCAAATATGTAGGTACATTGAAGTGTTTAATACAAAATATCAAAGCATGGAGTCCAGTATCTTGCAACTTTTCCTCCTTTATGTCCAAAATAGTGAACAAACTTTTATTACTCACCATTATTTTGTATAACTCAAGGTGGCAGATAAAATGGTCCCTTCTATTTTCCCCACAAGAACCCAATTGGATGGGATGAGCTAGGACAGAGCAACTGATCCAAAGTCACTCAGACGGGGAAAAGATTAAGACTCAGAGGTGCTCAGTTTCTAGTCCAATCTCATCTACCTATACCATAATGGCTCTCTAAACATCCTTAACAACCCATTCATGCCAGCCAAGTACCAATGGAGCAATTGAAGAATCAGAAGGAAGCAAGTAGATGAAATCATTTTGGCTTAGAATAAACTGAGCCAGTGCCTGACAGGTGAATTTTTTTTTCATCAGTTATGAAGAAGAAAACATAAGGAGGAAATAAAGTCTGCAAAAATGTATTCAAATTAACCATCTGGAAATTATAATAAATAAGCTTGTAAATTAGGTGCCTACCTAGAATTAAATGAAACACTTGGGGTTAATTTAAAATTTCTATACTGAAAACCTGGAAACCCCATCATTCAATTTTACCTGGTGGAGTTTCCATTGGAGATTCCTTTACTCTCAATATTTCATTTCACTCCAAATTGCTGATAGTTGTCTTCTTCAGTCCAGAATTAAATAGTACATATTATTATAGAGATCCTACCAAAATCTCCAACTGGGAAGAAATAAACCTCCTTCTAATAACCCCCCCCTCTCTCTCATAAATTCTAAGGATTAGGAAAAAAATGCACTATAATGCACTTTCCTGTACCCCAATTTCCTATGAAGAAAACTCATGTAAATTTTTATCATTCTATACACATCAATGGTGGGTTGCAATTTATTTTACTACTGGTTCACTCATGCGCTCGTGTAATGCTTCTGTGCATGTGCAGAAGCGTCCGGGTGGGTGGGTGGAGCTTACCACCATCGCCACTACCAGTTTGTCGGATTTGGGGTGAACCAGCAGCACCATCTCTGATACACATGTTAGGGATGTGATAGAAGGTGGATTGTTTCTTTCATTTTACTATTTTCTACTTCTACATGTTTTTTTTTCCATCAGGAAACTCAAGCAGAGTACACAAATTTCCCAGGAAGTTTTTAAGCAAATTTCTAAGTTTGAATTATACAAACCTTTGTCCCCCATTTGTTACAGCATATCAGCCCTCTACCAGTACAGCTAGCAGGATGGAGATAGTCTTCAAAGAATTCTTTATAGAGTTCCATAAGAGATTAAGGACAAAAATGGGGGGGGGGGAATTCATCTAGTTTACATGTATGTCTAGTTTAATGAGTATGTCTAGTTTAATGAAAAGAAGGACTAGGGGAGACATGATAGCAGTGTTCCAATATCTAAGGGGTTGCCAAAAAGAAGAAAGAGTCAAACTATTCTCCAAGGCACCTGAGTGTAGAACAAGAAGCAATGGGTTGAAACTAATCAAGGAGAGAAGCAACTTAGAACTGAGGAGAAATTTCCTGACAGTTAGAACAATTAACCAGTGGAACAGCTTGCCTCCAGAAGTTGTGAATTCCCCAACACTGGAAATCTTTAAGAAGATGTTGGATAACCATTTGTCTGAAATGGTATAGGGTTTCCTGCCTAGGCAGGGGATTGGACTAGAAGATCTCCAAGTTCCCTTCCAACTGTGCTATTGTATTATTGTATCTGAATGCAGATGATTGCATTTTTTTATATATTAGAGATCTAATTTTCTATCAGGAGGCTCAAGGTTTGGGGTTTTTTTTTACATTAACATGTTCTGTGGCCTATAAAAGTTTGAAAGCTCCTCATCTAGGGGACCCCAAATGGCTTATTTCTTACCTATCTTAGTCTTGGCTAGGTCTCTAAATTTTGTCATTGTAATTTTAGGGAAGTATATGCTTTGGTAGCAATCATTTTTTAAAAAGGGGGGAGTCTTAAATCCCCATAGCTTAAATGGGAAGACAGAACCTTTCTCCTTGATTTGCTGAACTTTTAATACAAAGTCTTATGGGATTACTGGTGCTCTCTGAGCTTGGTTGTTTCCAGATCTTTCACTACTCAATGAAATTCCTGGATAATGACAGATCTGCAAGCAAACAAACTCAGAAAACACCCAGAACTCCATAGTTCAATCCTGGGCTTCAGATATTGTCTGTTAGATAGTGAGTTATTTACATATGAAACACTTAAAAGCAGTGGTGAATTCAAAAAGTTTTACTACTGGTTCTGTGGGCATGGCTTGGTGTGTGGTGAGGCTTGGTGGGTGTGGCAGGGGAAGGATTCTGCAAAATCTTCATTCCCACCCCATTCCAGGGGAATGATACTGCAAAATCTCAATTCCCACCCCATTCCAGGGGAATGATACTGCAAAATCTCAATTCCCATCCCACTCAGGGGCCAGCCAGAGGTGCATTTGCCGCTACCAGTTCTCCGAATTACTCAAAATTTCCACAGCTGGTTCTCCAGAACCTGTCAGAACCTGCTGGATTTCACCCCTGTTTAAAAGGTTATCTCAGATCTTTGGTTTGGTATATTGGAACAGAGATGGACTTTTGGCTGCTATCCTACTGCTGTATCACAGTTTGCTCTAAGATGAAAAAGATTTTAAAAAGTTACATAAGTGCCAGATACAGGATGCTTGAGAAGTCGGGCTATGCGCAAAGATATGGGAATATATGTATGTGCTCCCAAAGTCTCCAGAAGAAAAAATATAAAAGGCCATTGAAAGAAGTTACAAGTATGATACAATCTACAGAAACAGTAGCAAGCAGATACTGCATTTTTCAGAGTATAGGACGCACCTTTTTCCCTCAAAAAAGAAGGTGAAAATCTGGGTGTGCCTTATACACTGAATAAAGCATTTGTGGCCCACCAAAACCCCGTCCCTTTTGCAAAAATGGACATGCAGAGGAGTTGGGAGGCTTACAAAGTGATCCTGAGTGCTGGGGAGGGAAAAAAAAGAGCAAGAAATGGGCCATTTTTGCCCCCAGCCCCTAGGGGCACTCTACAAACCTTCCAAAGCCACTGCATGCCCCTTTCTTTTGCAAAAAATGGCCCGTGTTTGCAAAAAATTGGCTGCTTTTTGCTTATTTTTGCCCCCCAGCCCCCAGGAGCACTCTACAAGCCTCCCAAAGGTCTGCATAACCTGACCCCCCCTTTTTTTTTTGCAAAACACAAGCCGTGCAGAGGGTTTGGGAAGGCTGCAGAGTGCAAAACCTTTTTTTTAATTTACCTCTTCAAAATCATAGTGTGCCTTATACTCCGGTGCGTCTTATAGTCCGAAAAATACAGGTAAGTAGTACTAATTCCACTGACTCAAGAAACATTCACGCAGAAGCTCAGATATTTTAGACTACTGTATGGAGATGGAGGTGAAATATGTATGTTTGTTTTGCTGTTAAGGTCACGGCCAGTGTAACTGTGGACGATGTGACTGTAAGACTGGATGGACGGGGAAGAAGTGTGAGCATCCAACGTCTTGCCCTATCTCCCCTGAAGAGAGCCTTAGGAAATGCCAAGGCGATTCACATCTTCCATGTTCTGGCAGAGGTAGGTTACTTGGATTTTCCTGGATGATCATAATGTACATGCTTGGTGAAACTAAACTGCTTCCACAAATGAACCTTTGTGGAAGCAATTTAGTTTCGCCAAGCATGTACATTAGTTTACAGTCAAATATTTGTTTTAGATTAGAGCAGGTCCCCAGCACTGCTGGCTGTTTGCTTAATGTTATCTTGGAATCAAATGAAGTGGAACAATGAGGCTCAGATTTGCCTGATGAGCAATCTATCATGTAGACTTTGCCACCTGCTCAGTTTCCTCCCTGGCCTGCTACTTTAAATGGCAAGCATCAGCAGGTGGCTTGGGACCTCCAAAGTTCTAATTCAGTAAACCCAGTGCTCAAAAGTTCTTCATGATTGTTTCATGATTCAAGTCATCCTTCATGTTGCCGCATCATGTAACTTGTGAAAGTAATATTCCATTAGCGCTCAGTAGGGAGTGAATATGCTTAGTTCAAAAGATGTGAAGAAATTACTTGTCTCATTCATATTTTATAATAACAATGTACTATGTGTTGTATCTGCAACAATTGTGTGCTGACCTGATGTTTTGCTTGTTATTGTGTTCATGGTTTGGTAACACATAGTTAGTGGTGCAATCTTGCCCACTTAGGGGTGGCAGACTATTTTAAGTACCCCATATTTTGTGGAGTATAAGATGCACCTTTCCCCCTCCCCTAAAAGAGGGTGAAAATTTGGGTGTGCCTTATACACTGAATGTAGCCTCACCAACCCACCAGCCCCCACCCTTTGGCCTCTGCCTCCCAGCAATTTACCTCCTTGCAGCAAATGGGGAAAATGGGGCTTGCGAGGCTGCAATAGGCTATAGCAATCCCTGCAGTCTGAAACAGCTGATGATCGGAAGGGCACTTAAACTGAAAGTGAAACTTGCTAGATGCACCATGAGGCAAATTGCTGGGAGGCAGGAGCAGATTTTTTTTCTTGTGCTAATCAGGCTGTTTGCTGTTTGCTGCAAGAAGGTAAGTCAATAACTATAAATGCCTATAGATTGTTCAAATTATTAGACTTGCTTTTAAATGCTTTATTATTGTTCTAGACAGCTTAACAAAATTAAGAAACTTTTTAAAATAAATGCTTGATCTGAAGAGGCCCAGTGCTGTTGTATCTTCTTTTAAATAACAGAGAATAACTATACTTCTGGAAAGCACATGAATTTTAACAGCATCTGTACAAGTATAGTCTGAAATGGAACACTACAAACAGTGTATATTGTCTGTACTATTTGCTGTTTATTGCAAGGAGGCAAATGGCTGAGAGGCAGAAGCAGATTTTCCCCCCTTGTTTTCCTCCCCAAAAGCTAGGTGCGTCTTATACTTCAGAAGGTCTTATACTCTGAAAAATACAGTAATAAATATTCTTATTCAGGAAGCATCAGTCTCAAAGGTTGACAGCAAAATGTGAGGAAGTGATGTATTAACATACACTGGATAATTAGCAACTTTGCCCTCTTCACTATACATGGCATTATAAAGACTCTAGGTGAATTGAACAACTGTTTCAGGGGTAGAATTGAACCCATATTAGTTGTGCCATGAAAAGCTACATAGCTGACTAGGTTGCAGCTTCACCTGATTATTTGTAGTTTGAAAAAGTGTTCGCTGAACTGTGTCCCGCATTTGTATAAAATAAAGCAATTAGCTAAAAAAATACTTTCACTTGATCATTCTAGTGTTACGGGTTAGAACAAAATGTTAAATGTGGAAATTTGCATAGTGCAGCACAGACATTTCTTACAGAAATTGTAGTGTTATAATTTTAACATTAAACGTTTTGAAAAGTGACACTGAGATTTGCAATCAAGTCTTTAGGTTTCATTAAAAGCGAGGTCTTTATTGGAAGCAAATAAATTCTACAGTGTAATTGAAGACTATTCTGGAATGCTCCTTGAAACTTCTGGGGGGAAAAAGAAATTATGGGTTTGTTTTCTGTATTTACCTACTGGTTTTCAAATATTGATCCTTGATTTGTTATTTAAAAAGGAGTGGGTTTTTTGATCTTTCCATGTGGTGATTGCTCCCCCCCCCCGCCATAGGCCTCCCTGCAACCTCCTTGGGCATAAACGGGCTGTGGGGGGACTCCTGGAAGGGACAGGGCAGGAAGGGATGAGGCCAGCCAGCAATTTAACAACCGGTTCACCTGAACTGGCTGAATCCCATCACAGGATATGGGAGAATGGTCTTCCTTATCTCACTTCCTTTCAAATTCTGAACTACTGTTTTTCCTAACTCAGATTTTTCAGAAGCTGAAACATCTTTCAGAAGAATTACTTATTATCCCAGCACATTAATTCACCTTAATATATTTTATATTCTGAGGTAATATCGTGTGTGTGTGTGTGTGTGTGTGTGTGTGTGTGTGTGTGTGTGTGTGTGTGTGTAGGATATAACAACCTTTCTTATTGCCCAAGGTTTTACGTAGGTGGCTTTGCAAGTTAGTTTAATTTTGAGTCCATTGTAAGTAATTCCCTTAATCAGCCACCAGAATAATTCACCTATTGGCTGTTTTCCAGATATTGAGACATTCTCATCTGATCTGATGCATGGATATGCTTCCTTGTTTTACTCACTTTTTAATAACAAAAGGTTATGTTTACCTTTAAAATCCACACAGTTATTACCATTTTTATCATATCAAGAAATGCACCCATCTCTTGGAACATATGGAGTGCTCAGCTTACCGCTAAAGAGAATGCTAATTAGGCCTGTTGATTGCTATGCTCAGTATCACATTGTCACTCTTTCCTTGCCTTGTCCATCATCATCTGTAGCCACTATAGTCATGTAGCATAGGGATCATGGGACTTGGTTGGTTTGCAACCAAATGTTTACAAGTAGAATGATTTCATGTACCTGTGTCTACATTTACAGATCTAGATGATATCACTCAATTTTTTTATAACTGTATGAACTAAGAATATCAAGCTTTCTCTCCATAGATTATTAAGTTGAGGATATTTGAAAAGAGGAGTGCAACATTCTTAAATTATGAGCAAATGAATTAGTAATTATGAATTAATTCTAGCAGGTAGATTATTGACTTTTTACTATAGTATCTAATGATGAACATAATTGCTAATTTTAGTTTTATTTATAAATGCAGGAGTACAGTTCACTAAAAAGGTACTGTATGTAAATCTCATGTAATAAAATAACCTATATACATATATGAAATGACAAATTTGTTTTATTTAAGTATAATGATAATATATTAGAATAATGGGAAATTAGTAGATTAACAGCATAATAATTCATAAGTAATAATACATATAAAATTTATGGGTGATAACTATGAATTACTTCTGCAACAAAAATAGCTAAAGTTAGAATCAAAAGCCTGTGTTGTTGAACATCAATGAAATCTTTATTTTAGTTGTAGACCAGCATAAATGTTATGAAGAGTTGCAATTATGGCACATACAGTGATGGGGAATTTTCAGACAGTAAGAGTCAAAGGGAATGAAAATATAAACAGAAATAATTTCTTTATAAAGAGTCAGCATTTACAATTTTCTCCACACGCAAGACAGTATTGTTGAATCTTTGATAATCAGTAGTTCAGAAGCAGTCTTTCTCTGAATGGACACTTTAAACTCAAATAACTTGAGAGATTGAAATATTCTCACATTGTTTTGTGAATATTACTATTTTTGTTGTTAGATTTGGATTCAAATTAAGAAAAATTGCTAACCAATCATGCACTTGTACAGTGCAAAAAAAAATCCCACCAGTTTATGTGATGCATTTAATACACAATGACCATTTTTAGAGGCTGGGAGAGATGGTGGTGTTGATTTTCGTATGTGCTACCTTGTCTCTTCAAGGAGCCTAGGGCAGAATACAGAATTAATTTTAGCAAAAAGGCAAAGATTTGCAGTATATGATCTGAAGAGTAATCAGAACTATGTTTTCTGAGCAGTCTATTGTAACATTTATGAATTAAACATCAGGAACGGTCAAGAGGAGCATTTCTGACTAAGAAATGTTATTAAAGGGCACATCTTTTGTGAACTGCAACTTTGCAACTAACCCAGATATTTTCTTTGCTCAGTCCTCTTTACCATCACATATAAATTCCGAAGCTCCTTCACATGGTTTTTCTCTAATATGATATATGCCATCATCTCTTATAACCCTCCTATACTACCACCTCTTACAATAATGGACAACACAGTATCAACAGAAGAGACATTCAAGTTTCTAGGTTCTATCATATCTCAAGATTTAAAATGGACACCTAACATCAAAAATGTCATCAAAAAAGCACAACAAAGAATGTTCTTTCTGC